CCCCCCCACACACACCTGTATTCTCTAGATCTCCTTGTATCAGTTATTTTCATTATGCATCCACTCCTTCTGTGCTTCACAGCTGGTAGACCCAACAGAAAAAAGTTTGAAAAAACCCAAATCATGCTAAGGTGGTAAGGATAAAATCATACTAGTGTATAGACAAAAATACAAATAATGTGTAAGAAGGAAAAGATCCCCAGCAACATTCAAAAAGCCAGGGATGAAATTTCTGTCATGGAACCAACCCACTATGCCATTAGATCTTGCATTTTAGAGTTATTGAAGTAAGATTTGGAATAGAGGTAGTAGAAGAATAAATTAGCAATTATTGCTATTAGGCTTTCATTTAAAGTTCATGCGTGTGCAGGTTCATTTCAAACAAAAAATATGCTTCAACGTGTCTGCTATCCGTGGATGGCTGCCAACAATTTCTAACAGTATTATTCTTGTCTTAATTTCATTAGTGTGTCTTCAATAAAAGGTCCTACCAAAACTGGCTTCCTAGGGGATTTACTGGGCAAGTTCAAATTAAGCAGAGGGGTTACCCCAAAAGATTATGGCAGCTTTTGGGGGTATACAGGACAAACATGGGGACTTATTTATTAGAGGGGAGTTTTTAGAAAATTGAAAACTGCACTGGTGAGAAAAAAAAAAGGCAAGGAAAGTTAGCCCTAGGAATTTTATTCCATCATGACAATTCACTTGCTCATTCTTGGCATGTAGCAATTCTTAGAATTTGACCTGGAAATCTTACCTCATTCACTCTTCACCCTAGATCTTGCCCCTTGAGACACTTTATTTGCCAAACCCAAGGAACATTTCACTGGAATATAATTTGAGAAACTTGAAAATGCAGTTGTTTAGGAGAAGAATTACCCTACTCCACTTCTGACTCATAGCAACCCTATAGGGCAGAGTAGAACTACCCATTTGAGTTTTAGAGGCTGTAAATCTTTAAGCAAGTAAAAATCCTCATATTTATCCTGCAGCACAGCTGGTCTGAATAGCAGCACAACACAAAACCCACTGTGCCACCAAGGTTCTTTAGAGGATCAGATAAAAGAAATGGAAACACGTCTTTTAGGATTGTATAGATCTAGATATTAGATATGTAAAAAAAATACCCAAGTAGTTCACTGTTTATTATTTTTATTTAGTAAAAAGTTGTATAGTTTTATAGCAATACCTTTGACTTATATACAGGGGAATAATATTTAGCTATAAAGAAAAGTGATGTTTCTGGATACATGCTATGCCCTGAATGATCCTTGACAATAAGTTGTGTGAAATAAGTCATACAGAAAGATCAAATATTGTTTGGTTCTACATGTATGAAATACCTGGAATAGACAAATGCATAGAGAAAAAGTAATTGGTGGGGGCTAGGGGAAGTAGAGAGTTATTGCTTAAAAGTTGTGGGACTCACAAACGTCTATGTGAAAAGTTTTTAATAGACTTACTCACTCACCCACCCACCCACCCACCCACAATTGAGTTGTTTGGGACTCAGCGACCCTACAGTCCTGCACCTGTGGGTTTCCAAGACTAATTTTTCAGGCATAGAAAGCCTTATTCTCCCATGGAGGAGCTGTGGTTTAGAACAGCTCACCTTATGGTTAGTAGCCCAATAATAACCACTACACCACCAGGAATCTTCCTTTATATTTAGGATAGATTTGCTAAAACAGGGTTTTTTTTGGATTTTAGGATATAACCCATTGTTGGTATGTAGATGTGGCTAGTTCTTATCAGGATCATCAGGTATTGGGCATATTTTATGTTTTGTGCTGCAAAAAGAATTGGTGATAAAATGTAAAATGGAAAGTGTCTAGATGAAGGTTTGGCATGTGATTTCTTTTTTTTAAGTACTAGCATTTGTTTTAGATACATATGTGGTATACTTCCATTTGTATTCTAACTGCCTTGTCTGGTAAAACTGAACACAAACGAATCTACTCAAGAAGAAGGTAGAAATGGAGAAAAAAATATAGATACCAACAATTGAATAGGATAGTATGATATGAATTTTTATTTATTCCAGAATTTTAGATTTGCTTAATAGAATTCTGCTGGTAAATGTTTGAGTTGAGTGCAGCCTGGATTAAATGGAAACTGGGATTATCTCTCCAGGTTGATTGGACTCTGCCATGTACAGACTCTTCATTAAATTTTTAGTATCTTACAAAATTCATTGTAAATATAATGAATGATCGATTTTAAGAATTAAACCTTTGGGGGCTGTATATTATATTAATAATATTATATGTATACAAGTTAAATGCTTTTCCTAAAAGTCTTTTTTCCACTTTTATTACAGAATGCTGTCTTTTTATATGGCCTTGGGTTGGTCTACTTCCATTACAATGCATTTCAGTGGTAAGTTGACGTGAAAATAATAATAGTTATTTCTAGTAAATGGCTTGTTTTTGTTTGTGTATGTGTGATATAAACATATAACATTTCAATGTTAGTGAACCTATATTTTTCAATAGGACAAATTTTAAATATATAAATGTATTCACTTACATATTCAGAGTTTTGTATATAGTTTAAATAATCTGGCATAAGACTCTGATTATAGAAGGCTTCGGTTATAAAAAGCTTTTTGGAAATTCCCAACCTTTCATGTAGAGCAGGGTGACTAGTCTAGGTTATTTGAATTTAGGAATGACGGTATTGTTCATTTAAAATCTCAAGATCTGTGGGTGAATGATTATTTTACCTTTTCAGATTTCAAGACAAGATTGACCACTACTCTCCCACTCTACTGCCACACATACCCCATGCACATCTGCTAGTACTTTTCTGTTTCTAGTATTATGAACTCTGTTATCTCTTCAATAAAATTGGAATAATGGTGCTACCTTGAGAAGCAGAAATTAAATATGATCATAATGATAAGATTCATAAAATGAAATGTAGGGCTCTGTTATTATGGCCTTTGCACCGTATTTGATTTTCTCATTAGTAGACAAAGCAATAGCATGCTGTAAGGAAAAGAACATAGAATTTCGAGTTGAAAGATTAGTATTCTCATCCTATGCTGCCATTTAGATTCATCTTGAGTTAAATGTTCTCCCTCCCTCCCTCCCCACTGTAGTCACATATATCTTGTATAAAATTTTGATGCTGAAATGAGATAATGTAAATTTATAAACTGTACATCCTTATAAAACTTTAAAAAATTTGAAGTATATTTTAACTTTGTCAGAGTTCTTGTAGTGCCCATACTTTCAAGCTTAATAAATACTTTGAGAGTTCAAAGGAAGATAATGTAATGTTTGACCAAAGGTTATAACTTTGCTGTATACTTGTCAGGCACTCAGAGTATTTACCAGAACTTTTAATTATATATTAGCTGTGATTGGAGATAGCTCCCCTAAATATGACCCTTTAATAGCTTTATTGAGCTGTAATTCATATATCTTTCACTTCCATAATTAAGTCATATTAAAGGGTTGTATTTTACATTATTACAATCAGTTCTAGAACATTCTTTCTCCTTGTTATTAATTATTGGCTCCCCATTTCCCTTCAGCATCCCCTTGTGGATCCCTAATAAGCTATTACACCAGTTACTTTCCCTATCGATATCATATATACTGGAAAACTACCAAAAAGAACAACAACAATATCAAAATCAACCACAGAAAAAACATCAATTGGGAAAAAGTGGGCCTGCTTGATTTTAATCATAAGATTTCAAGAAATTTGTGGAAAAATAAAATGAAATGATGTATGAATTTTGAAGTCTTCTCTTATATTAAAGAATGTCATTCTTACAGAACACTTCTGCAGATTGTCTTGTGATCATTCAGATCATTGATCTCTGTAAAGATGTTTTCTAAAATTTTTTCTCTTAAATTACCCCACAACTTTAACACAAACTAGAATCCGGCTACCTGTACATCATATATAAAACCTAGACTCAAGTAGGACTGTTTTAAAATCTCTTTTAGTGTCTCAAAGATAAAAATCATGGAATTCACAATTCTGTATTTTTAAAATTAAAAGTGGTCTTACAAATAATTCCACTGAATTTTATAGATGGGTGAAATGAAGGAGGTTCTGTGCATGTATACATTTGTATATGCATTTCACTCAGCATTGCATAACTGTTAAATTAGTGGCAGAAACAAGCTAATGCTCCCATCCCCCAATCTGGTGCTTTGGTTCGTTTCCTATTGCTCCATGTCCGTAAATCTGAAGATACTTTAATCAGTTTTTGTAGTTGTTTTTCCTGGGTACATTGATAGAGTTTTTATAGTCAAGCAAAAATAATTTATGTGTAGCCCAGGCAAGGAATTGTACACATATTTGCTAATTTTCACATACCAGTGACAACTTGTGAGTACTCTATGGAATGAAGTTATAAAATCAGTAGTGAGATGAAGTCATCATCATTTCAAAAAACTGATTTCTTTAATATGTATGTGACTGGTAGGAGGCCTGGTTAACTCAAAAAAGTCATATTGCATGGTTCCTTACCTGTATATGATTTCTGTTTCCTTTAGTTGACCAAAGAATCTGTTGATTCTATCCTGGTAATCACTATTTTCTGATGTCTTTGAGTTTCAACTTTGTTGCTGCTTTTTAAAATGACATTGCACACCCTATGACTTTACCCTGGCTGTGTGGTGTCTCTCTTGCTATTCAAACGTTTTCTCACAAACTACCCAACTTTCTCTTTTAATTTATCTTACTGTTTCTTAACAGTCACAAAATTAGGAAATGTGAGGGAAGGATTTTAGCGTACAGCCACAGTTGTGCTCTAATTGTACTCTTTGTGCCAGTCACACTGAATAAACATTTACCTGAAAATGTCTTCAATACTTTTTACACTATGAGACATTGTTCATGCCATTTACTCCATTTGGTCTACCTTTCCTTCCATCTCTACCTTTTCAGATCTTACCAATATCTTTTGATTACTTCTTCACGTCTTCATCAAAGAACCATTAAATTTCCTAATGCTTGTGTGTCTTTGTATTCACATTATTACTGATCTAGAGCTAGTATATACTCCTTTTTATCAGTATGAAATTTTGTGGATTTAGATCACCTGTCTGTCTTCTGAGGGAAATCTCCATACTTGGCTTTATTAGCCCATGAGAAACTCTTTCAGATTTACTGGGGGAATCAAATGCGCAGTGCAATATGCACTTTTTTCAGTGGCGTGAGTATATTTTAAGTATTTGAAAGCTGAAAGCCTTTCCAGGCATTGTAATATAAAAGTATTTTATAATTTTTGGTAACTAATTCTCAAGTTCTACAGTTTTCCTTCAATCAGAATTCTGCAGTCAGAAATTCTTTATATTTTAGGATAGGTTGTGCTTTAGAGCTCATGTTCTGGGTGCACGTTCTGTTTGCGATGTGAAATACAGAGATGTCCAAAATCAAGTGTTCTCTGAGTGGTATCACTTTCCTATCCCCCTCCACCCCCACCCCCCAAAATTTATTTCTCTTTTGCCATCAGTGGGGGCAAACTAAAGAAGCATGCAGGAAAAAGATGAGTAAGTTTAGAAAACAAGATTAGATGTGTGCTATATTTTGTGTTAAGTAAAGGCAATTTATCAGTGAAGAGACTGGAGCTTACTCTCTTCAAATTGTTCCTTGCTACAAAAAACCCAAACAGCTAACTGTAAAATAATGGCATCAATGGACATCTGTTAAATGTAAACTTCTTATTGAATTAATTTAAGATTTAAAAAATAATAAAATGATTCCAGACCTTAAAGTCCAGACTTTGGAAAAACTATAGACAATATATAAATAG